GACATGAAACTCATTTGGAGCCTGTAGAAGTGTCTCTGGCTATTAGGTTTTTCAGTCCCTAAATCTCATTTTTCTTAACATTTCAGGAATCACCACTCAAATGGCTCCTATTAAATTTTAGTGTACTACTTAAAGCTTCTCTTCTACACCTGATTAAGAAGCCTCCAAAACTTAGGGATATACTAGTCTGCCAGTGCTGACAGCTTAAACTGTTTTTCTTGCAGGTCTCATCCAAGAGCACAAGTTTCCACTTCACATGTGAGAACAGAAATTGTTTTGGTTTAGTCAGATTTGTTTATACAGACTTGCAGCTCTGCAATTTGCTTCACTGCATGTTTCCTCCTAACTGGCCAGGAAATGCATGCACAACAACCCAGTCTCTCTCCAGACTACATTAAATCCAAAGTCAGGCACCTGGAACCAAAAGCATCATCTCTCTATTTGGTCAGGTATGTGGATACAAGGTCCATCATGAAAACAGTGAAAAGTGATTTAGAGCCTCTACTAGGTAGCAATACCTATCCTTTGTAAATATGCAAGTGTCTTGGTCCCACTGGGGCTTTCGGCCCACGCCCGGACTTGTGCCTCACTGCCCCAGTGCATCACTGAGCTGCTGCCTGGCATGGGCTGGGGCTGACCCCATTGCCACGGGCGAGCCCAGCCGCCACTGTACCCCAGCCACCATGGCTGGGCCTGCCCAGCTCTCCTCATCAGCCCTGTCCTGGCCCTGTGGCGACTCTCACCCTGGCCCCTTCCATGTGCTGCGCATCCCCCTTCCACTGCTCCCCAACAGCTCTGCTTGAAACAAACGTCACCGCTCATAGGCAGCTCAGGTTTAAGGATACCACAATAATATGTCAAAACTAGATACTCATTAATTAATCCTTTCAGTTTCTTAAGCTTTTTGTTAAGTCTTGCATCCTGTAACCTGTAAAGATCTCTTCTTTGCCCAGTAGCTTGCTTAGGTGGGGCAGGAGAATTAGGCATCACTTTGCCTAACTAGCTTACAACTTCATTTTATTTCTCGTGGTGTACGTATGGAGGGTAGCCTCACTATTTGCTCAGTCTAAATGTACCTCTTGCTCGTTCCTCCTGAATAGATGACTTCCATTGGACTGGATTCAAATTAATTCTTGTCCATCTGTAGTTTGGATGCTCTTTGCCAAGCTGCCCAGAGCTTCTGATTATAAGCACTGCTTACTGTTTTTTCCCAGCATCAGAACATCATCTTTGTAAATGTTTTATTACTTTTACTGTCAAATTCTCCTGTCCTTTTTTTTCTACAAAACTTCTCAAAGAACAAGCATGACACAATGGTACCTTGCTGGCAGAGTAATACACCAAAGAGAGCGCTACCTGAGCACAAACATGCGTTCTGTCTTCTTGGGGGGCTTGTCAAACTCTGCTGACACATCCAATATGGAATATTATCGATATTATTCTCCAAAATTTCACCCTTAACAGAAAATGAGAAAATACCATCATTCTTTTCATTTTCTTATTTTCTATTCACAAATAGAGATTCTTTGCTTATCCACTGCTGTAGCCAACGATATCTCCAAAGTTTTTCAAATTCCATTGCAATAAGCTTATCTACTTCCTCCTTTGGGCTTTTTCCTACAGTGAAGAATTTTGGGATGGGGAGGTTCCTCCAGCTCTTTACTGTTCTGGGTGGGTTGCACATTCAGTCAGCAGCTCTCTTCTTCATTTTCCATTCTTGCTCTGATTACTGATTGAAGTCAGCTTCTACACAAAGTGCAGAACCCCCAGGATTTCTGAACTCCAGATTCACAGATATCTGACTCAGCAG